TCGTTTTAGATCTATCAAGAACTAGCACCTTATCATTTCCTGGCTCAACGATTTGCTCAAGAAGGAACACTCAAGGGATTTTCCTATCGTTCCAGTCCATCTGAATCTGAATCCGGTACGCGACTAGACGGCCAACCAAAAGCAGTAGGTAAAATACACAAGAGTAAGCTAGGGAAGAGGTTTATTGGACGGGGGGAGCGTTAGCTAGTGCTAAAAATAGGGCACCCGGAGATAGCTAGCTAGGGAGAATGTCGTTGGCGTCGAGTGCGTTGACAGAGCGTCGTTCGCAGTCAAGTCGCGCGCCAAAGGCGGAGATCGTTTTCGTGTTTCCAACAAACGGGAACAACGTTCCAACAAGCAAATCGAATAGTTCGCTAATACATAAGAAAGCTATAATTTGAATATTTTGGAATAGTTTAGACAGTCACACGAGGGAATCACCAGGTCGTTACAAGGATGTTTTTACGGGTGTTTTCCTTTTAGGCCCATCAAGCAGTCGGAGCACACCTGTCAACTCCTGGATCCACGATCCGCTCAAGAAGGAACACTTACTGGATTCATACTATCGTTCCAGTCTAGAACTTGAACTTGATTCAGGTTTATAGTTGACGGTTAAGGACTTTTCCACCCATTTTCGCTTTCAAAGTCCTTTTTGTGCTAGCAGTTCAAGCTACATCTTAAATTGTCTTAGTTTCACTATAAAAATGGCTTAGCTGATACTGCTTCGACAAATCCCAAGGAATTCTTCGACTACGTTTAATGACTCTGTGGTGCAAACTCACCCATCTTACCGTTTCTTCGAGGAGATGGGACCCAAGCCTACAGCGACAATGACAAGCCATGCGTGCTTGGTGAGTAGTACTCAACCATCTGTTCGCGAACCAAATACTCCATGCAGTGATCTAGCTACAAAATCTCTGAGGAATGGTCTGGATGAAATTCTTGTAACTGAGCCTCAAGATCTCCGGTTTGTAGCGCCCAAAAAAGTGCTATCTTTCATGTACTCTTTATTTGTTGACCGATTGTACATTATTCCTTGTTTTTATCTTCCTTACAATCGGCGTGCGCCGCAGCTCTAGTTTTATAGCGCGATGAGCGTGCGCTATATATCCCGTACGAGACTAGACGGCCAACCAAAAGTAATGGGTAGAATACACAAGAGTAAGCTAGGGAAGAAGTTTATTGGACGGGAGGAGCGTTAGCTAATGCTAACAATAGGGCACCCGGAGCTAGCTAGCTAGGGAGTGTCGTTGGTGTCGAGTGCGTTGACAGAGCGTCGTTCGCAGCAGAGTAGCACGCCAAAGGCGGAGATCATTTTCGTGTTTCCAACAAACGGGAACAACGTTCCAACAAGTAAACCGAATAGTTCCTTAATACATAGGAAAGCTATAAATTGCATATTTTAGAATAGTTTACACAGTCATACAGGGGAATCTCTAGGTCGCTGCAGCTTTACCCGTAGCGGAGCTGTTCAACTACTTATTCTCGCAAGGCAATGTTTTCAATGATTGGAAATGTGGGACTATTGCACCAATCTACAAAGGCGGTACTCGCAAATATCCGGCCAACTACCGACCGATAACTCTTCTCTCTACGATGGTATCGATCGTCGCAGACGCTTTAATGGACTACATGCAGACCCAGAAACTGCTCTCTGATTGCCAGCACGGTTTCCGGCGTCAACAGTCGTGCCTGAGTAACTTGCTACTTGCCAGGGATAGCTGTACGACTGCTGCCGACCCTAGCCAAGAAACGCATATAATATTCCTGGAGTTGGCCGAAGCCGTCGGAAAGGTCGATCATAAGATTCTACTACAGAAACTGTTGTCTTACGGCGTTTCAAGGGCCTTGATGGACTGGATACGGAACTAACTTCCAATTACGCATCGACTGAACGTTTTCTCCCCGCATCCTTGCCACAAGCGGAGTTCCACAGGGGTCTGTTCACGGACCGACCTGTTCTTAGCCTTTATTGACGACATCATACCGCAAGTGAAGTCTTCGCTGTTGCTATGTGCGGATGACGCAAAGTTGTGGTGCAAAATTAACCTTCCGAACGATGTCCACGCACTTCAGACGGACCTTGACTGTCTACATCAGTGGTCCATGGAAAACAAACTTCCATTTAACGCTTCGAAATGTCGCGTCCTTTCTACCCGCCCTTCCGCTTTTTCTCCTATGTATTACCTGGGAACGTCTATCCTCCAAATCTCTTCAGCCAAAAGAGACTTGGGTATCATTACCCAGACGAGTCCTTCCGTATCCGCTTCCTGCCGGAAAGCAGCAGCTGCTGCTAGCCGCATGGTGGGATTGCTGAAACGAGCCTTCGGTCAAATTGACCCTAGCAATTTCCGTCTCCTCAACGCAGTTCTTCGACTCCACTTGCAGTTCCCTATTCAGGCTTGGAGCCCTTGGTTGTTGACGGACCAACGCATACTCGAAGCCCCACAACGTCCAGCAACCAAAAACTGGTCCGAGGTCTCCAGCACCTAAATTATCCACAACAACTTCAGTGCCTAAGCCTCTACTCGCTTAGTTACTGACGTCTACGGGGCGACCTGATCCTTGTATTTATGATCTTATCCAACCATGAACATCACTGTCGCCACCAACTCACACCGAACCAATCGTTCTCCCACCTACCTGGCCACCCACTGAGGCTCGCACATCAGCACAGTCGGCTGAACTGCAGACGACACTGTTTCGCTTTGCGAATCTGCCGACCGTGGATTGCTCTGCCTGCCGATTTAGTCTTGGTACTCACTGTGGCGGCTTTTAAGACCCGCCTGGACTGTCATCTGGCCGAGTTGCACCGCGATATTCCCTGATATAACTACCTTCTACTTGATGGAGTTTCTTTTTTTCTTCCATCTACTTCCTTTCCATAGCCGTTTCGGATGGCGTGGTGGGACGTCCCGCTTTAAGCCGGCGTGCATTCTGTTTGAATGCCGCATAAGCCGGATGAAGATACGGCTAACACGTGAGTGCAATCCGCTATAAAGTAGCTTGGCCTTTCATTAGACCCGATCCGAACTCTTTTTACTCTATGGGTCATGTAAAGCTCGAGCTATTATTCCCATTAAATACAATGTTCTAATGAGACTGGACCGCCTTGTAAGTTCCCGCACTCACATGTTCGCTTTTGTCTCGCTTCATCCGTCTGCGTCTTCTTGTAGCCCATCGAATACAGTCCGCTGTGTCCGACTCCAATTGCCTTCTGATATCCGCGCTTAATTTCGCGCACCGTCTCCGACTAGTATTAACTAGTCCTACAAATTGGTGACCCCGATTCGCACGCGCGAATTCAACCTTTTCCTCGTTTGTATTTTTTGGTGAGTTCGTTCCTTTCCTTCAACCACATACCTGTATTCATTCGTTTCTTACGTAATTTTAGTACTTTTGTCGTGCGTTTGTTCATCCTTTATTTTTGACTCATTTCAAGGGTGGCATCTGAGTCGTTTCGCAGCGTAAACCTACTTTGGCTGTTCCAAGTTTCTTGGAACACAGCCCAGAGGTTTGGTTTATGATATTCGAGATCGAACTGGCAAATAAGGGTATTACGGCGGACCGTCAGACGTACACTCAGCTCATCCCATGCCTTCCTTCGTCGGTTGTGAAGCTGATTGAGGACATTCTACTCTGCCCATCGAATGAGGCAAAGTATGAAACAATGAAGCAAGCAATCTTAAAAGAGTTACGGCCCAGCGCACGAGCTTGATTAGAAAAGCTCATTGGTCTCAAGCTTGGAGATCGCAAGCCGTCGGCGTTGCTCCGCGAACTTCAGCGCATCGCTGGTCCCTTATACTTGAGCGAAGAAGGGATAAAGGAGCTGTGGTTTGCACGTCTCTCAGAGCCATTGCCGGTAATGCTGCCCAGCTTTATAGATACACCCCTGAAAGAATTTGCTACCAAGGCAGAAGCTGCGTTCGAACGTTTTCTGCAGCAGACGACCAGTAGATCTAATGAGGTATTCTCACCGATGAAAACTGAATCCCACATTTGCTCTCGGTCGTCAGACCGATCTGACGCTAAAGACAAGGAAATTGCGCTACTACGCAGCAGGATAGCACCAGTGAAGGCTTCGAAGCGGCGTGTGCCATGGTCAAATACTGACCACTTTTGCCTACGGTTCATTGCGGCTCGTCTGTGCCTGCACCGCGTGCGTTTCGTTCGTCACGAAAGCGCGACATTTTCCCTGCCCGTTCTCAGTCAGATAAAACCAAACTCGTCGAAGAAGTATGTTGGTATCACCGCCAATACGGTGGAAGAGCTACACGTTGTCGGGCTCCCTGCATTAGGCACGACTCAGCTGCTTCGGGGAAAGAAAATAGCCTGCATAATAACACGACAAACGTATCAGAAGCAAATGTTGGTAGCTCAAGTTGTTCAGTTGGTTGTCTGATTGTTCGCTGAGCTCGGCAGGTGGACTGCAAACTTTTCGTCACCACTCGAGGTGACATCGTCAGTGCGCGTGTATTTAGCAGAGTGACGCGTACGAAGCGTCAGTGAGTGTGAGTGATCGATCTCCTAGCCGCTAGTCTGAGTTTGGATTGTTCGACGAGCACATGACCACATAAATCGATCTCTGATTCTCACCTCGTAGTGTACGCGCGTGTGACTCTTCGCTTGTCGTCGTTTGATGCAGTAGTCTAGCGCTGTATATATAGCATCTACTTCAACGTGTCGGTTTATTGAACTGTCGGTAGAATACCATGCTTCCAAGAATTCTCTAGCTTGCCTCGAATTTCCACGAGCTAGGATCTTAACGTTCTCTAGGTCGAAATGGTAGCCTTCTCGGTCTTCAAGCATGGAAACTAATGAATGCGGGTCGTGTCTCCGTATGGCCATTTTGTGTTCGTTGATCCGTGTTGATAGTTTCCTTCCAGTTTGCCCGATGTAATATTTGTCACACTCTTTGCAGTTAATTTTGTAGATGACATCATTCTGACTGCCTTGTTTAACTTTGTCCTTCGGTCTTGAAAGCAATCTTCGCAAAGTACCTGTTGGTTTGTGGGCTACCAAGATTCTATGTGGTCGTTGCAATCCTGACGTTAGTTCAGATACATTCTTGATGTAAGGAAGCGCTATCCGTTTATCTATGTTTTCCTGCTGTTGTTGCTGCACCCTCTTCTTTAGGCTTCTTCTGATGAAGTTTCTTGGATACCCGTTGTTTTGCAATACCCGGTATAGATGGTTCTCTTCCTTCTTCCTCAATTCTGTTGTGCTGCAGTGTGTTTCGGCCCTATTGAAAAGGCTTTGAATGCAGCTTTTCTTGTGGTTCAGTGGATGGTTGCTGTGGTAGTTTAATATTTGGTCTGTGTGGGTCTTCTTTCGATGTACACACGTGTGAAGTGTTCCGTCAGTGTTGCTTTGGACCATTACATCTAAGAATGGTAACTGGTTGTCTTTTTCGAGTTCAATTGTAAACTTGATATTCTGGAATGTGTTGTTGATTAGCTCATGGGTGTGCTGCGTGGAATCTCGTTTGATGACGACAAACGTGTCGTCCGCGTACCGGATCCATAATTTTGGTTTGATTAACGGTATTGCGATGCTCTCCAGTCTTTGCATCACAGCTTCTGCAATAAGTCCTGAGATGGGCGATCCCATGGGCGTTCCTTTCAGTTGTTGGTATACTTGCCCATCAAAGTAAAAATAAGTAGTCATGCAGAGTTCCAAGAGTTCCCATATGCTTTCCGGTTTGAGGTTTCCTATTGTGTTCGATTGCTTTCGAAGCAATTCCATCATGGTTTCTTTTGCAAGTTCGTGACTGATCGACGTGAAGAGCGCGGTGACATCAAACGACAGCATGATTTCATCTTCCTCTATTGTAACACACTTCAGTTTGTTGATGAATTGTTCAGCATTGATGATGCTTTGTTCAGAGCCGGCGATTAGATGTTTTAATTTCTTCCACATGCATTTTGCCAATTTGTACGATGGGGTTCCTGGCAACGAGACGATTGGACGCAATGGGACTCCGTCTTTGTGTACCTTTGGCAGTCCATAGAACCTTGCAATGTTTGTGTCCTCAGCTTTCATCTTCCATCGCTCCAGCTTGGTAATCTCACTCGTTGCTTGTAGTTTCTTCAATGCTGTGTTGATTTGAGTACTCAGTTTTGTACTAGGGTCCTGATCTATGGGACGATAGGTGGTCGTGTCGGACAGGAGTTGTTTGGCTTTTGCAACGTAATCTGGTTTATCCATTATTACTGCCATGCGTCCCTTGTCAGCTGGTAGGATTACAATATTGTCTTCTTTTTGTAGCCTTCTGAGTCCTTCCCGTTCTTCTTTTGCAAGCGTATGTGTGAATTTGTTGCGAGTTATTGCAGGGACAACTGTTTGTCTAATTTGTTGCCGCGATTCTTCTGATAGTCCGTTTGTGTTCAAAACTTGTTCCAGATTCGCCAAGTAATCCTTATATGATGCATCTTTTGCGTTAAAGTTTAGTCCTTTGATTAGTATGTTCTCCTCCGTTGTGCTGAGTTGACGGCTAGACAAGTTTTTGATCCATCCTTCACTGTTGGGGTGGTCAGACTTTCTTGTAAGCTTATTCAGCTTGATATTCAGTGCTAAGTTACGCTGGCTTCTGATGTTGTTTACTCGACGTTGAATCGCGGATTCAAGCTCTGCAAGTTTTTGGGGTCCCATCGCAATAAGGCAGTCAGTTTTATTGTCATTTATAACCTTTTCATACTTTCGAAGGCGATTATGGGCATCGGTTATCATTAATTTGACCATACGCGTCCCATATTGTCTTGTTAAAGCCCAAGCCTCTGGATGATCTAACGCCGGTCTGTGGTTCAAACTGGGTGGCAGAACATTTCGTCTCAGACATTCGTGGAGGAAGTATAGTTGCTCGCGTGTGGAAGCTCGTCGACAGGCAAAGTTTTCCCAACGGCGAGCTTGTTGAAGCGTTGTACGCCCGAATAGCTGCGATATAGAAGCAAATGTTGGTAGCTCAGGTTGTTTAGTTGATTGGCTGATTGTTCGCTGAGCTCGGCAGGTTGACTGCAAACGTTTCGTCACCACTCGAGGTGACATCGTCAGTGCGAGTGTATTTAGCAGTATGGCGCGTACGAGGCGTCGGTGAGTGTGAGTGATCGATCTCCTAGCCGCTACTCTGAGTTTGGATTGTTCGACGAGCACATGACCATAGAAATCGATCTCTGATTCTCACCTCGTAGTGTACGCGCGTGGGACTCTTCGCTTGTCGTCGTTTGATGCAGTAGTCTAGCGCTCTTTTCCGTTAGATTTCTTCTAGTAATTCGGTGATCTTTCAACAACGGGTATCCAAGAAACTTCATCAGAAGAAGCCTAAAGAAGAGGGTGCGGCAACAACAGCAGGAAAACATTGATAAACGAGTGGCGCTTCCTTACATCAAGAATGTATCTGAACTGACGTCAAGGTTGCTACGACCACATGGAATCTTGCTAGCCCACAAACCAACAGGTACTCTGCGAAGATTGCTTTCAAGACCGAAGGACAAAGTTAAACAAGGCAGTCAGAATGATGTCATCTACAAAATTAACTGCAAAGAGTGTGACAAACTGGAAGGAAACTATCAACACGGATCAACGAACACAGAATGGCCATACGGAGACACGACCCGCATTCATTAGTTTCCATGCATGAAGACCAAGAAGGCCACCACTTCGATCTAGAGAACGTTAAGATCCTAGCCCGTGGAAATTCGAGGCAAGCTAGAGAATTCTTGGAGGCATGGTATTCTACCGACAGTTCAATAAACCGACACGTTGAAATAGATGCTATATATACGGCATTACGAATGAAAGATCACCGAATTACTAGAAGAAATCTAACGGAAAAGAGCGCTAGACTACTGCATCAAACGACGACAAGCGAAGAGTCCCACGCGCGTACACTACGAGGTGAGAATCAGAGATCGATTTCTATGGTCATGTGCTCGTCGAACAATCCAAACTCAGAGTAGCGGCTAGGAGATCGATCACTCACACTCACCGACGCCTCGTACGCGCCATACTGCTAAATACACTCGCACTGACGATGTCACCTCGAGTGGTGACGAAACGTTTGCAGTCAACCTGCCGAGCTCAGCGAACAATCAGCCAATCAAACAGTTGTTATTTTGGTTGCGCGAGTCACGGCAACTACATTCGCTACACCGATACTCTGCTCACAGTTGTTTAACCGAAGTGCACTGATGGACAATAAATGCATCGCGGAGGATCACCACCGTCAACTTACAGCAGATGATG